GCAATAAAGTCACTAGGACGCAAGTGCTTACTGGGTGTTAGAGACTATGAGAAAAACTACTATTAAAGTTATAAAACTATAAAAGAACAAGTATTAAGAAGACAGAAGATAACAATTGACATTGCATTTAAATTTCCCCCCAAGCAAGTGACTAAGGCTACTAAGATGCAGAGGGCTTACTCAGTCTTAGGGAATATGATAAAAACTACTATTAAACAGATAAAACAATAAAATAAAAAGTATTAAGAAGACAAGTAATAAGAATTTTTGATTTGCCAATAATCAAATCAATCTTGAGGGAAAAAAACGGTTTTAAAAAAAGAAAGATCTAGAAACATGAAAGTCTGTCGAAAAAATCGCACAGATGCAGGTTTGAAGCCCAAAGAAAAAACCCCGATACGATTAAACAACTAACTAAGAAAAGAGCTCAATTCAACCGTAGAGCAGACCTAGATAAACCTAGTGAGTCAGACAAACCTACCCAGGTTTCACCTAAACGGATCGTCAGGGAAAGCCACTTTAGCCAGCTTTCCCTGATGATCCGCTATCTATCTATCTATCTATCTATCTATATATATATATATATATATATATATATATATATATATATATATATATATATATAGTTTGGTTAAATAATTTAGACATACAATGCTTGCTTCTTTTTTTTTTTATCTTTTCGATTCTACGAATCAAATTCTTGGTAGACGTAGAAAAGTTATTATGAAAATACCAAAAATGCTGTGAAATGACCATTAACATATTTATCAGTTCATTGCTGTTACACAACCCCCGTGATTTTATATCGTCGTCATCAATTCTGACTTTGAGACGAAACTCTCTTAGAGATGTGCTTTGATATAGAATGAATATTGAGACCACTACTACCAAAAAAATTTTTTTTTCAAATTTTCTTCTTTTTTGTCGTTTTTTAAAGAGTTCTTCTTTATTTTTGTACAATGGCGTCTCAGTTATCGCTCCGATTAACGTTATTCCTCTTTGCCCTTAGTATGGTGACCATCACTCAAACTTAACATTTTGCCTGAATTAGTGTGGTACATAAACCTAACATTTTGCTTGAAACTGGGACGTCATCTTCATTATGTCACTGTTTGGTTACATGCGCTATGCATTTTGGTTGTTGCTGCTGTTGAAAGTCCTTAAGTGATGTGGCTTCTGTTATTTGGTATAACGCTTTGTGATTCTCTAACGCCATTCCATAAGTTTCCAAGAAGTATGCTCTTCGTCCAGACGCACAGATTTCATTCGCGCCAAGTAATTTTTAACCATTGATCTGAGAAAACTATTGTGTATACACCTTTTTATTTATATTTAATAATGTATTATGAGTTAAGCTGAATACAGGAACTGATTTTTATGGCATCGGGGTAATCTTACCGATGATATCTTTGCGAATAATGTCTAAGTGATTTTTTATGATTTAATAAAAAATTAAAATTAGTGTTTTATATCTCATTCAATATGGTTAAGTTCTTTCTTAGCAAAAGTAATAGTTCTTAGATTTTATTTTACTAAATCTTTAAAATAAAGAAGGAGATGAGAATGCTAAATGGAATAATATCCATTTTCTTATGAATAAATATTTGACATTAATTGACCGAAGAGCCAGCACAAATGGCGTTTCAAATATATAAAATATTTTTTCTTAAAAAAATTCAAAATAAAAGGTTTTTCAAATTCAGTAACAGTTATTGTTTGTTCATGTAGTTTTCTTCCTAACCATTTATTGGAAATAGTCTGTAACATCAACAAGCGAATTATGTCATTATTTTCTCTTCGAGTTACATGTGATAGCCATTTCTTTTATTCTCAACTATATTCTTCATAATATAAACAATTGTTTCCCACCAAATAAGTAATCTATGACTCAACCTAATATTAATACACACACATACTTGAAAATATTTAGTGGATACCCGTGTCTTAATTAGACGTCCCCTATTCTATTTTATGTCTGCACAGTTGAGAAATGATTATACAGAAAATCAGTTCTCTAAGATTTTTCGATTGTACAGGCACCTATTTCGATCACAGGTATCCACTAAACATAGCGTTTAAAGTAATACAAATATGTCAGATCAAAAACATAAGACCAGTTATCCTTTATGTATATATATGTGTGTGTGCGTCTGTGTGTGTGTGTGCGTGTGTGTGTATATATATATATATATATATATATATATATATATATATATATATATACACACACACACATATATATATATATATATATATATACTATATATATATATATATATATATATATATATATATATATATATATACATACATATATATATATATATATATATATATACATACATA